ATGCTAAACTAGAGAGAGCATCGCTGGCAAGGGGGCTACACTACAACAAGATTGACCGTGATTTAATTGTAATACACGTTTCAAAATGATGCCGAAGTAACAACATACTGATACCGGTTAGTAAAAACCAATGAATTAATGCTTTGTCAAGTCTGCAGACAGACGGCAGGCGAAAAACCTTTTAAAATGCGTGTGTTCTAAATGGAGATTGGCTAAGCTAAACGCAGTATATGCTCCGACCGTTCCACACTTACAACAACGGCCTATAAAGACATAAATAAAGCAGCGACTGTATTCACCATGACACAGGCAGTCTGTGGTTTGTACTTGTTTTAACTTGTTGTCTAGTTGCTGAACATATATGAGGAGCTGTGAGTCTGAGTGCTAACAGCTAACGGCTGTGTTGTTTTCTGGGGTTCTCTGAAGATCACGTCACGGCTCCCTCCTTACACTTGCGTTACTATAGATACTACCCCAGTTCCTAAACTGTATGGAAATGCGCCCATAAAGTGAGCCAGTCCTAACGAGGCCCAGCCATACCGAGCGGGGCCGAGCGAGGCCGTTTGTAGTGGAAACGCGCCATTACTCGCTACCAGTGGTTGTACTTTGAGGTTTGTGACTCTGCACACACCGTTTACATGCATAAAAAACTTCATAACACACAAGGGGACGGGTAATAACCGGAAAGCATGACATTGGGCCCTTAAATACATATCATTTGTACAATTTATATTTAGAAATACTCCGTTGTAATTATTGATGCATAAATGTGTTCATCCATTCAATGTGGCATCTGCTATAATGGGTGTTAATGTATGATATTACTTAATAATACAATACATACTGTATAATATGTGATAATGTATGAGTTGATTTACTTCGATCTACTGTACTGTGAACACCACAACCAATATTACAAAAATATACTGCATATTAAAGCAAACTATTGTAAAGGTAAAAGTATGAGCATAAAAAATAAAGAAGTATAAACATTTACATTATTATTATGATTATTTAATATATAAAGACTATATATTATTGAATTAAAATTAAGATAATAAGATTAGATATACTTTATTTGATCTAAAAATATTGATGTTTTTTTCATTATAGTAGCCTGTGAAAACCATAACAAATAAGTGATTAAATGCTACAGTATTCAGCAAACACAACTGCAGAGCTGCAAACATTGCAAACAGACTAAGTTCTACAAAACCCAGTTGTCTTTTTTGTATTGTGAATGAAGCGCCATCTCATGGTTAAATCCTGTAATTGAACCAATGGGGAAATTTGGCAACGCCCTCTAGCAATTTGGCAACGCCCCCAGCCACTGGGATCCGCTGGGTTTTTGGTTGGAATCCGCTGGGTGGAGTCCTATCTGGAGTGCTACATCTGTACCTCACTGAGCTGTGGTTATCAGCCTCAATCCAACAACAATCCGCGGTACCGATGCACGCCCTCTCTCTCTTGCTCGCTCGGAGGCTCGCTCGCACTTTGGCTGTGAGCTGCGGGCGCCTGATAAGTCAACATCCCCCACTTTCATCACTTACAGCGCCCATCGTACAGGGCAAATGAAAAGTGTAAACCGGGGTGGTGAAAAGGGTGTTAGCTTGACTTAATTATGAATGTTGTTAACATCAGGCTGAAAATTAGGATGAAGCCAACAGTAAACATGTTTTTTTCCCTCCCAGAACTACCAGCGCAGTGCCCCCCCAGATCTGGCGCCCTAGGCGACCGCCTATGTCGCCTATGGCAAAGACCGGCCCTGGCTGAGACAGATGTCAAATCTATGATGTTTTGTTGTATGACTTGTTTTTTTCCTCTGCTGAGATTGATTTTTCTACCTAGCTACATCTGTGGATTTGCATCCAGCTTGAATCCCCTTTTTTTGGACATTCCATTGCATTCCCTGGAATTAAAAATACATATATTAGGGCCTATTGAACCCATAGAGCGGGACAGAACTTTGATATTAGGAGATGTTTTATAACGTTCTGCAATAGCAATCATGTTTATCTCAAATCACAACCAAGAAAGTTTTGAAATTCAGAAAAATGGTAACCATACTTAAAGTTAAAGGGGCTTCGTGTAAATGGTCTGCAAAGGCTAAAATCCCAAAGTTCCCTCAAAAGGGACTTTCTCTCCCACACACTCTGAAACGACTCCATTGTACTTTGTTTACTTGCGTAATATAATGACATCAATACAAAACACATGCACTTATATTGGCTAGCGCTCCAACACATTGTAGATTATAGGCTAAGGTGCGGGACATCTCTCAGTGGTTGACCAATCACTACAGAGCTGTGGTTTAAGACAGAGGGTGAAAAAGGGTGGTGCAACACAAAAATAAAGACCTTTTTGAACATTAAAGCATGTAAACATGTCACGGTAGAGGCATAAAATACAAATTTGAAACCTTAAAATTACCATCAGCTAATGTCTTACTTCTTTCTAGAAACGCCTGTTAAAATTACAAATGAGTTACAGTTTTGACAGGATGTACTGTAAACCCCAGTATCTTGCGTAAAAATCGGACATTTTACCCATCCTGACATCTGTCTACTAACTTTTAGACATGCAGTACGAGACTTACACCTTTGGTATCTTTGGTATAACTTCTACCAGGCTGCCTGTTCCGTCAAGTCCGAAATGTATTTAATAAAAAGACGGGAAGAAGTCAGAACAAACAGCTGTGAACCTTTGAGTCACTTAAATTAAGAGATTTAGGAGACCTTTTTTTCATGATTCATGTGAACACATTTGGAAAGTTAAATTAGGTGAACATGGAGTTACTCAAATCAGGTTTAATTGAGGAGAAAGTCAATAGAGACCACCCTCCCCTCACCTTGCTGCTAAATTCAAAGGCTGTAATTCCTCACACACTTCTATAATTAAGCGGGACACTTATTTTCTAAGTCCATTGAAATGACCACTGGGCTTTTATCTCCAAAAGTCTCCATGGTTACACACCATGGTTTAGGTTGATGAGTGCCTGTATGTGTGTGTTTGGGGTGTACGAAGGTAGTTCCTAATTGACTGGCTGTTAAAGCTTTTAATGAAGAGTGGGCAGTGGACTCTCCAATTAGCTGTGAGGGGGCGACCGGGGATGAATAGAGGACAGCAGATCAGGAGGGGGGGGGGGGCACAGGGAGGAGAAGAGAGATGAACCAAGGGAAGATAGAAGAGAAAGGGGACAAAAGAAAGGTGTGAATGTCAAAGAAAACAGCATGATTTTCACGTTTTTTTTAGTGTTATTTCAAAGTTTTTATGTGTCACATAAGCAGGGTTGAAAGGGTTACTTTAAAAATGTATTCCGTTACAATTACTAGTTACCTGCAAAAATATGTAATCTCTATCAAATGTAGACATAAATAAAGACAAGAGATCAGAAAGATCAATAACATGCTATGCCAAAAAACAAATGACTTTGTTTTAAAGAAAATAATACTTTTTAAATAATTGTATTTATAAAATGCCACAAGAAGCACCAATCTGTACCACTTTAAACCATTAAAAACGTAATAAACTGAGCCTAATTAGCCCTCTTAACACCCATTCATGGTAAAGCAAGGTTATATTACTAGTCAACGTTTTGTTGATAATTAATTATTAAAAAGCAATAATGCAAGAGATAGACTCCTCTAACCCATTGTATTTCGTGCTACAAAATCATTTTCTACCAAAGAAAATATTTCTTTAAGACCACAGCTAATCACAAAGAGTCCAGTGTGGTATCTAAAATGTATGCTGCAAATAGAGCAGTAGAGCAGCAATCAATACTTTTTTCTACTGTCTTTGAACAGGCCGAGATCCTTCCGATAAACAGATATAATTGCCTATTCATCAGCCCCTTTGGAACTCCCACTTTACATGAAATATTCATGATGAAAGAATGGGAATGAACTGAGAGAGATGAGAAGGAAAGAGAAAAGAAGGTGTATCGTTACGTGGTACAGTTCCTCATGTACTGTGTCCAGTTACTGCTCAGGGAAGCCATGTTTTACTGTACCTATAGAATGGTGCAGTAATTCATTTTTGAAGCCGGCCCAGAAGTTACACTTCCTTACAAGTTTTGTTAAGCAGGATAATCTCCACATTTTGCACATTGCACATTGCACCTGCACATATTTTGTTATATTTTATTTTTACGGGTACATATTTCATCCATATTTTATATAAATATTGCTATATTTCAATGTTATTATAGTTTTTTTCTTACAATTGATCTTCCTGACTGTGTTTAAGTATGCACCAAATACATCAAGGCAAAATTCCTCGTATGTGTAAACCTTCTTGGCAATAAAGCTGTTTCTGGTTCTGATTCTGACTTATTAACACCAATCTTATGAATTTTTAAGCATAAATGCAATCTGAAGAAGTAAAAAGCTAACGTAGGGTTGAAACAAACAATATCACATGGCTGCGCGCTACCAATGCTAAGCTAAAGGCCTTTAATGTTCGGTGTGATAAGGTTTGGTAGTCTCATTTTAGTCACTTGTTTGCAACCGCTGTTGTTAGCAACCGCCATTGCTAATAAGAAACATTCACCAGTGGGGTAAATAATAACGTATTTTGTGTAGTATGACAAACAGGAAAATCTCTGAGGCTTGGGTTAACCACAGACCTTGTTCCAAACAAAAACACGAACAAAAAAGACTTTCAAGAAGAGAGAACAGGAAGGGGTTTTAGGATTCTTCTTGCACCTCTCCATAGGGTGCAGTTTGCCAACCATGTTACCAATCAGTAACATAGGGCATTACCACTTGTCCAAAAGGCTATTACCTTATCAGGATAACATGTATACGGATGAGTTATTTATTATCAGGTTTAAAGGAAATGACAAACAAAAGATTATATCACAACGTGTGGTCATGCTTGGGAAATGTGATCTCTTTATGTATAAGACATATTTGAATAATAGTAATCCAGCTGCATCAGATCTTGTCACAACCCATTTAGTAGCAATGTTAATGTTTGTTTATACTTGTATGTTGCAGGTGCTGTAGAAGTGAGGAAAGAAGGTTTGGACTCTCAGATCAACCGCCTGGCTGAACTGATCGGGCGACTAGAGAATAAGGTAAAGAATACAGGCACGCAGGTTAACTTCTTTTGGCATATGGTTACGTTATTCCATGAATACTAAATCTAACCAATACCACTGCCTAATCCCTATCTCAATCAAAGCCTAAGTCTTAGATGATATGACAGACAGTGATTTGATCGTACTTGTTCTCCTTGTAACCAAATAATTATTTCTGCCATAAAGCACTGGGGTCCGTGCACACTCGACAGCCTTGTTCGACGGCATGAGTGTGGAGGACATATGTACGGCGGCGTCTTGGTCTACGCTAAGCCCGTTCATAAGGTTCTATCTCTTGGACATGTCTGGCTCCTTCTCATCGTCTGTGCTTGCTGGGGCAACACAGGACTGGTGAAAAGAGGGGAGCTGTGGGTCGGTAAGCTGTATCTGACCCCCTGGGACATAATACACTTACGTTTTCCCATGCTCCTTAGGGACCTGGGAAACGTAGTGCGCAGTGTGTAGTCACTTGAGCTGGCACCTGCAGGGTGGAGCTATGGGCTTATTCAGACCAATTAGGCTCTACCCAGCCAAGTAAGCTGCGGCCCCCGACTTCTTCACGGTCACAACCGGGTGATAGGAAATTGGGGTGCGATGGCTGTTAACCAAAGGCCGGTCAGAGGCAGTGTGGTGGGTCAATGTGTGGGGCGAAAGGGCGTTTATTCAATGGGGCTCCACCCACTGTACCCATAGAGTCCATTAGAGGGCGGAGCCTGTGTGAGATAGAACGGGGGGTTACGTATTGTAACCCTAGTTCTATAAGCACAGGCGGAGCCCTCTACCTAGGGGCCCTGTCTTCCTATGCCGCTCGCTGAAGAGGGTGTAGGATGACAGTCAGGAGGTGTATCTGCCTTATATACTGTGAGCCTGCGCGCGCATTCAGGTAGGCTCGCCCTGATTGGCCGGCTACGTTTATACAACTTCAGTGTGTGAACGCTCGCGTATCATTGATGAGAGGAGTACCCATAGAGTCCAGTAGAGGGCCCCGCCTGTGCTTATAGAACTAGGGTTACAATACGTAACCCCCAGTTTTGGGCCGTTCCGTTCAATTGGAAGCTATAATAACAAAGAACGAAAAGCACATTTTCTTGAGCAGATTAACCGTCCAAACCCTGAATGTTGCTGACGGTGAGTGTTGAACTTTTATTGCCATACGCAGATCTTCCTCCTTACTATATGGCTGTCAGATTAAGTGTTAAAGCTCATTCTAACAAAGTGTGAGAGCAAGCATATATTTTTTTTAATATTTAGTAACTCAAAGAGATGATTAACTCCAAGAAGTCGACACCACTTTGCCGTACAACCGCGGTGATACATTGTCGAGATATCGTTGTTAAAGAAACAAGGAGGAAGCTCTCATCAGCGCCCTACCAGCGCCTGTCTGCCAAAAAGAGGACACAGACCCATGAATCATACGCATCATTTACGCTGGGTACGTGGCCCCACTACTTTTCAAAAAAGGGCCAATTTTGTTCCAACCACTTTCTTAAAGTAACATTTACTCAAAATAAATCAGAAAAATAGCGTTCAGAAGGTATATAATGAAAAAGAACATTCATCCGTTTACACTTAGTAGGTGTATTTCTGGGAACCTTAGAGGTGCAATTAAAAAATGTGAACAATTACTATTAGAATACTTTGAAAAGAAAAGAGAAAAGCAAACATCGCCTCTGCTTTGCCCAGCAAAGCCAGTCTTTAGGCGTGGTTAACAAATAGTATGCCTACGTTATGCGTTGTTTTAATCTAAAAGTGTCCACAATACTTTTCTAAACATAGTGATGCACATGCTATGCACAACTAAATACAATATACTTATGGGGAAATAGATCATAAAAAAAATAGAGAAGAAATGTTTCATCAGGTATTATATTTATACTACATTAGCCCTGGTTTTCCAAAAACATCGTTTGTCTAAACAGACCTACTGTATGTATACTGTGAGGCCTGTTTAGAACCAACCTTTAGCCCTTTGCCCCAGCTGCTAACTTAATAAACGTCTTACAAATTGTCCAGGTTTAGGTAATATTGTTCCATTAGGTCAAGTGACCTTTACTGTAGAAGAAGTGATTGAATTGCCTTCCACCGAAGAATAGTCCAATAATCACCTGTGACCCTGAAGGCCTCATGCGAGCCCATTACTCTCCACGGAGGCGGCCCTGTTTGCAGTGACTGGCATGAAGGCAATTATTTTCACGGATGACTAAACAGTCACATTTTTACCTATTTGAAATTAAATGAAGACAGGTTCTTCTTAGGAATTATTCATGTGTGTTTTATTTATTTTATGCTTATAAATTCAGTAGTAATTACTTGAAACTTGAGGGAAAAGTAGAGATGACAATGACTCTGCTTTCATTTCCTGATTCTTCTTCCGTCTGCATTAACAAGCCAAATCAAAATTGACCCAGCAGCCTAACCAGTAAACAAATGTAGGCCTGTATCAATGAATAACAATCAGTGAAAGTAATGAGCAACTAAAGGAAAGGTTAAATACAACTCTAAACTACAGCCCACTTATTTCAGTGTAAATATTAAGATACTGGGTACCTTTATTGAGACAAATATGCATGTCCAAGTTACATACAAACTATGTGGGTAACTACTTTGCGTATAAGAAGAACTTGAATATGTACATGTACATTTTTGCAGCAGGGGTTCATTACATACGTTTGTTGTTGTTTTTCTTTTTTTTTATAAAATTGCAGGAAATACACATGTCATGAATGTAAAGTAAAATTTTATTTTTAAGATAACTTTGCAGTAAACGACCCAAACTTTTTTCTCAGTTTTTGTTCAGGTCAAGCTCTATCTACCCTTATTATGTTATGAATATCCATCGAGACGAATGATTTAGAGAATTACTTAAATGTGCCCTTTGGTCATACATGCAGATTTCTTATCTTTGGAGACTTTTACTAAACTTGTCCCAACATGACTTATAATAAAACATCATCCTTTCATGTTGAGGTCCTGCAAGGCTGCTGAGGATGTATTTCATTGGTTACATTGGTTTTGCAGAAAAACTCTGCACATCGAAACGAAAATAGGTCAGAACATTTTTGAAGTTGGAAAGTGTCTTTTCAGAATAACCATAACTAAAGAAAAGCAAGTGAATAGACATTTTCTGCTGGATAACATTTTCAGAAGGCTAGACAGTATACTGCAGTAATCATATCAAAGGAGAATATAGTGTTAAGACTGCGTATGGAAGTGGAGAGGATAATATCACACTGAGTGAATCATGAATTGTTTACTGGATGAATAATATGCCAGCTTCACACTGTGTTGCCTGGCGAGATGAAAATAGTGCCCCATGTTGGCACCACTGCTTTGTGATAGCACACTGGAAATCCTGTTACCTGCAAACCATATTTAAAGTGATAAAAATGCACTGCTCCGTCACACTCTCAGATGTTCCACGCTCCACTGGGAGTTGTTTGTTCTTTGGGTTACAATGTGTCATTATTTATTGCCCTCTGTGTGTCACAGACAGGATTTTTATTCTCAGATAGCCTTTGATTGTAGCTGCACATCTGGTACAGGTGGTACTGAGGCTGAATACTGACAAACAGATGGATTTCTCTCTTTTCAGCCAAAGAATATTTTCCTGTCTATAAAACTGTACTTGCACTCCCCTGTTATATCCGTTTTTTTGTATTCTCCTATCTTATTCGCAAAGAGTGATTTACGAAAGATTTGAATCTCATCTCGCTATTTTTAGCCTGCGCTGAACGACACTATCTCAGGTTATATTGATAAACATAGGCAGTAGGCCATATCAGTTGCTAATTCATGTAAATGTCATGTGTATGACCAAAATAAACAGTTTTGGTTTGTGTGTCTGTACTCGGACAAAGGTTGTTTATCAGGAGCATCACTCTTTAACACTGTTCAACATAAAATGGAATGCTTTGTGCCAAAGACTTTGATAAAATGGAACATCTTATCCATAGCAGTTCACACAATGGCAATTTCAGGAGAGGCATTTTTGCAGTCAACTTTCATCTTTATCATATCAATAAATATCAGGTTTATAGTGTTGATCACAAAGTATTTTAAACTACTGATGTTTTAGAAGATATGTGTTATCTCAGTGTGTCAGACATATGCTTAATTAACACTGAAATAAAGACAATTATTGAATTTGACATATACCTAATCTTTAAGGACTCTGAACTGGATCAGGCCAAAAATAATTCCTATCTTTTTGTATTCAGTGAAGAACCGTGAAAAATAAGATATGAAAGAAGCTCTTTAGTCTGTTCCTAAAAGAGACCAAGAAAAAAAGGAATAGGATATCAAGGAGTACTTCTAGTCAGTGGTGTGAAGTAACTGGGTAGATTTACTCAAGTACTATACTTACTGTAAGTACAATTCTGAGGTACTTGTTCTTTACTTGAGTTTTAAATGTTTTGCTACTTTGTACTTCTACTCCACTTCAATGATTTAATACTTTTAGTTACTTTGCAGATTTGGATTAAGGATTTGAAATGTAAACAACACTTACGTAAGACTTTATTTAAACCTGGAGTAAATACACAAGCTACCCAGCAATAGGCAAAGTAATTCAAACTAGCTTCACTTTTACTAGCTTTGATTAACACTTTAATGCAACAATAATTATTATCAAAACATATCATATATATTGTGAGTCCCTCTATTCAGCTTCATTACCAGGCAGCTATTGTTGGTATACAGCTCTAAAACAAACTGTACCCTTAATTAACTGCAAGAAACAGATACGATTTTAAATTAACTGATGAACATGTTGGAGCATTGAGCAGCTAAAGAGCCAGATATTTTTGAAATCTCTTTAACTTTCTTTATTTGAGGCCAAGATGGCCACGACCAAAACGTCACCTTGGGGACAGAATCCTGTGCACTTACTGTGATTTATTGAAAAAGGTTTATATAACTCTGACTCGCAGACAATGAGAGAGGACTGTACAATGAGCCCACCTGTCTTTCCCAAGGTTTTATCTTAAGAGGGTATTTGAACATAATTGTGTCCTCTTCACTCCAGTGTTAGAGCAACCCAGTCTCACGGCATTTCGTGTTATAGTCACGACATGTAATCTATTGATTCGTGTTCACCAACATGATTTTCCCCTTTTTTTCGTGTCACACAGAACGATTTTAAAAGCAATGTAAATAATAACAAATTAGAAGGAAAAGGAGATAAAAAAAAATACAGATTTCAGTATTCTGACACAGAACGATTTTAGAAGCAATGTATTTATATTGGTAGTATGTTTCGTGCCTGCACCAAATAATAACAAATTAGAAGGAAAAAAAGATTTTAAAAAATGAGGCTCTGAGCCCCATTTATTTTCCTTGCGGACGGCAAAAAAACTCCGACATTATACTATTTAAAATAAAAGGGTTAGGGTTAGGTTTAGGGTAAGATATTGAGTAAGAAAATGTTTTTATGAACCACACAGCTTCCGGTCTTCCAAGACCCGACCGGACAAAAAGACGTGGTGCAGGCACGAAACATACTACCAATAGAAATACATTGCTTTTAAAATCGTTCTGTGTGACACGAAAAAAAGGGGAAAATCATGTTGGTGAACACGAATCAATAGATTAAATTAATTTGACTATAACACGAAATGCCGTGAGACTGGGTTGTGATATCTGCTAGCGAGCGAAAGCCAAAGGTTGTCGACTATCAACTACTTGCAAAATGTAGTGTTGTAAATCTTTGATTTTACCATTTTAAACTGCATATAAACTAGAATGGAAAGTTTGACAGGCAAAGCAACCATTGCTAAGGTATTTAGCAAAATCTGTATAGTTCTTGATAATAGTACCTATAATAGTAATCCCCTCATTTTGCTAATTTTTGGTTACTGTAGCTCCTACATTATAATTTTCGGTTACATGTTCATGTTCACTGTTCTATGTTTAGATCTTTTATGCTGATATAAATCATTCCGTTTCATTTTGGGCTTCTCTTTTTGGCACGTCCACATCCTGCCTGAACCCACCACCCTTATTCCCTGTGGAACTTTATTTTACTTTAAAATATCCTGTCCTGCGTAATGCATGTCCGCTTGCAGTGTGAGAAGTAATACTTCTAGTGTGAATGTCTACTTTAAGATGTGGCTTTAGTAGTTGTTGTTGTTGTTGGTCTTGTCGATTGACATGTTGCTGCTGTTGTTTGTTGTTGTGCTTCTCCTTGCAGACAGTCTGGTTTGATCTGCACCAGAGGCTAACAGACACAGATGGCACTACCAGCGCAGTAAGTAGACACTAAATGAATCACCATTGCACATTATTACACTGCAACAGACAGCCCTGGGTGCAGCATCACTTTCTGCTGCTTCACAAAGGCCAAGTATCACTACAGCACTACCTCAGGCAGAGTATTACAAGGCTTAGACATAATTAACATGGGACAGCACTTCTGCACGACCTTATCCGAACAAAAATAATCCCGGTCTTAGTGCCTGTCCCATGGGCGGTGATCTTTTGTATTATTTCCCTGGAAAGCTGCTTGTTTTGTTTGGTTGTCTGGAGCTGAATAATTTATAGACACTGGGTATTCTCCAAAAGAATTAATAGAATCACACGCTATCTTAGAATACCTAACACCCACAGGGAAAGTAACATGTCAGCTTTTCTAGAAACATACTGCATATTTAGGGGGTGTGATAGTGTCTGTGATACTGATCAAATGAGCACTATCCTTTTTCTTCTCCTTAGGCTGTATCTGATCTGAATCATACAGTAAATCAGAAAGTGTTCACTTACAAAAGCTCAACAGTTTGATACCATTTCCCGATATACTTTCACCCAAGACTGCTACAGCACTTCTGTACCTCCAGCGAGTAGAGATAAGTGTCAGTGCAATAAATATAGCCATTCTTACAGGTCTGAGCGCCTGCAAAAAGCCATAAGCAAACTACTGTATATAATACAGATTTATTGTATTCACATGCACTTTATACAACACCCGCTGTAATGCAAAAAGATGCCGGAGACGTTAAAAGTACCTGAATTTAAACAAACTTGGAGTTGTCTCTCATATTTTTTGGAGTTCAGTTTAAACGAGATAATCATTCTTTCTTAAGAGACAGACTGATCACTGGCAACAGTGTAAAGTTACAGTACATTTGGACCAAAAGAAGTTACGAAAAATATTTTTCTTGTGTGTTTTCTTTTACACAAGCAATCACTACAACACCAGCCTGGTTAACAAAACCCATGCCTCCCCAATAAAACGCTATGTCTTCACTAAGACATATGAACAAATGAATTTCATCCTATCCATCAGATCTGTTTATGCAAGATTTTAGATCTCCATCACTGTAGATCTGGCCACAAGCCTCATTTCCAATCACACGCTTAGCCACAAATGGATCAAGAAACTTTCCATCTGCATGTCACCACTTGGACAACAGGAAGTCAAGTTTTACAGATTTGCGAACTTCTTGAGTAATGCCAAAACAGCCATTCCTTCAAGTATGCAGTTCTCTTAGTTTGGAAAACACAAATGGGAGTCATTTTCGTCCCTGGTATGCACCTTAGCCATCAGGGTCCCCCGCCAACATCACTTTTAATGTGAAACTGGTAAAGACACTTGGAAAATATATATTTTTAATCATCAGTAATCTAAATATTAAAAAGTCAAGTCAAAAACAATTATTTGGTTATATTACTGTTTTTAAAACAGATGTTGCTTAAAGGGGACCTATTATGCAAAATGCACTTTTTGATGTCTTTTATACATAAATATGTGTCCCCGGTGTGTCAGGGAACTCACAAAGTGTCAGAAAACAAAACCCTCTCTCTTTTCCTCTGTACCCACATCTCAAAAAATAAATAAAAATGGGGGTGCTAACAAGCAGATCCATAAGTTTCACTCCTATTACGTCATTGGCGACATCCGGCCGACGTGACACGTCCCAACCATGGGTTGCAGTCGAATAGTCCATTTAGCTTAGGAACCTTCCTAACGGAGTGAAATGACCCGGAAGTACCTCAGTGTCAGCCATGATAAGTGCCGTTCGAATTCTCTAGATGATAGGAAAGGAGGTTTCAAACTTCCTTTAGCTTAGGAACCACTGGACCTCCCTTTACGAAAGGAGAGGAGAAAAAATGCTGCCCCACAATGCCTTGCAGCCGCAGCATTTGCCGTCACACAACATTCGGCCGTTCACGGAAACAACCGATTATGACCGAGAAATTATATCATGAAAGTTACGGTGCTTATTAAGCATTTTAAAACGTATGTGGTAACTTGCCAAAGTGCTTTGTTTTGAACGTTCATCAGTATTATAATCAAAAAGAGAAATATGAACGTTAGTTTTTACTGAAATGATCAAATAAAGTCAACATTTCACAGTCTTTACTGAGCTGTGTGGGGTTTGTTCAACTTTTAAAAGATGTTTGAATGGTGATATACACAGTGATAGATGTTAAGGACTAACATTTATAATAAATACATTTGTATTGATTTTAAGATCTTTTCATAGTTCATACAATCATACGTATTGGGATCATTTGTATTAATGTAGACCGGAGGGAGAGGGTGACGAGCATAAGTTTCACTTTCCTTTTTTTTTTCAAAATACAGTACCAAACAGATCCCCCATTGTAGCCATGCCTCATACTGCTCAAACCCCTCTTTTGCAGCCCTGTTAGAGAAATGCAGATTTTGGTCCTCAGCTTGAAAAAAAGAAAAGAAGAGGAGGCGGAGCTAATGCCTGATCAGAATTCTACCGGAGATAAAGTTAAATTCGGTTGTGATAAAACGCCATCCGGTTTAAACCACGTCAAGGATTATTTCTGAAATAGTATGGAGCTCAAATGCTTTTTCTCTTGCAGGTTTATCACAAGGTGAGTTCTTTTTTTATTTCCTGCTTTTTAAACACATGTGCTCTACAGTACAGGTTAGCTCTGAGTGTTAGCGAGGCTTGCTAGTGTAAACAAAGACGTCCAAAACACGTCAGGCATTGTTTCTGATAGCAAGTTTCTGTGGGTCCGCCGCCGCTATTACGTCAAAGCGGATGGAATCTGGATCCGCTCGTTGTACACCCGTTTTTAAAAGATTTGGGTACAGAGGAAAAGAGAGAGGGTTTTATTTTTCTGACGCTGCGTGAGTTCCCCGACGCACCGGGGACACATATTTATGTATAAAAGACATCACAAAGTGCATTTTGCATGATAGGTCCCCTTTAAAGCAGAATCAGCCTGTTTGGAACAGGGCTGCAAAAGAGGGGTATGAGCAGTATGACGCATGGCTACAATGGGTGATCTGTTTGGTATTTTAAGCAAAAAACTTCATAGACATGTTTTGTATAGGTATGGCCCTACAATATATGTTTCCAATATAGCATAATAGGTCCACTTTAACAATAAATTAAAAAAACGAACAAAACTGTAAAATCATGCCTCAATTATTATTAAAAGAATACTTATCATACAAAAGTATCAAAATGATAAGTCTACAGCCATTCTCTGTGAAGCTGTATCAGGACTGTTGTTTAAGTGTTAGCATGCTAGCACTTGCTAAACCAAAGTACTAAAAAAACAAAGAAATTGGACAGATTATAATGTTAGATACTGTGTAAGGTCATTGCAATTCATTCTGAGGGGAACATATGTCTTTACTAATTGTCAGGGAAATCAATAAAAAAAGTTGCCAAGATATATCACAAAACAAAAACATCACCATGATGATATCACCATGACCATTTCAGCAGACTTCCAAAATGTAATGGAAATCCATCCAATTGGTTGAGATAGACTAAGGCCTAGGCTCCACGGGAACGAAAACGGGTTGTATCCGCATATTTCTCTTGCGTATAGCCCTTTAAGCTACACGACGCCGTAACGGAACGGTAGAAACGGACCCTGCAAACGACAACGGGTCCAAAGGTGGATAGATCTGGGAACGGAGCGCTCTGGGGGGTCCAACGGGGCCGTGTGGTAGCCTATACGGTCATCCGTTTCTGATAATGACGACGCAATAGCCCCGCCTCTCCCCGCCTCTGCTGCTCACCCCCGCAAAAGTACACTGCACACTGAATTCAGATGATTTATCTTTATCTCGATATGGACATAAACGCGAGTGAAGTCTAATCTGACAGGACGGAGACACGCAGCTCCTCCCGCTGTGATGCAGCGGGAGCAAAACACACACTTCAAGTCAGATCATCACCCTTAGCTATTTTAATTACCTCTCAAACTACCTAAACTAGTTATAAATATGTTTATTTTTACTGTCGGGTTTACTTACTGGATCAGCTGCTGCATGAGGAAGCATGAAGATTTAAACTTTAACACACGTTGACCGGCGAAAAACTCTGCCTGGTTCCCTCAGCCCCCACCGCGGAGAATAAACAGAAGTGCAGCCATGACAACCATTCTTCTTCGCTGCTTTTGTGGAGGAAGTTGCTGCTTTTGTGGAGGAAGTTACAGCGCCACGTACAGGCTCGGCATATGTACTGCAGCTTTTCCAGCGGTTGGATGTAAACGGAGCTGTCTCGTGTAGCAAGACACAATTCGGTGTATATTGCGTGTGGACGGAAGCTTTTTGGCATTTGCGTTAATCCTATGCGTTTTGCCGTATGCGTTCCCGTGGAGCCTGGGCCTAAAATTGCCATTCCTTCAAGCCCTAGTCTGGCCCCAAGATCACTCCATCGTAAAATGATATCTTGCCCATCTGTGCCACAAGGAGTTTTCTTCTTCTGCCTGCAGGAGATCGGTGCAATAATCACCTTTTGCACTTTTACACACAGGAGTCGGGCCACTTATGGCTCTCCATTTTCTGTCGGCAAGCAGCAAGAGCACTGACAAAATTGTTGAGTTGCTGTCATGGGCACAGGCATAGAGAGGTTATTATGAGAGACTGCTCATATGCACTGAGAGGGAGAAGTCTCAGGTTGTTCTTTAAAATGCATGAAAAGGAACACTTCTAAAACACCCAACAAGTGGCCCATTTAAAGGCGAGAAGACAAAGAACAGTCAAATGAAAGGAACAGGCAGATAAAGAGAAGGCACCAGTTCAAAATAATTACTCTGGGCACATAAAAATACCACCCTAAAACAACTTTTAGGGAGTTTGAAGAAGTAGCCCTCAGCTATTACCTATCTTTCCATGGTCCATTTGTTTGTCTGGTTGTCTGCTGTACAAAAGCAGAATCCGATGGGGAATTTTGCCTTCAAGATAAACATATTTGTGTATTCACACAGACTGGGAAAACACTCTGCTTCAGTTCCCATGGTAATGTAGCA